CACACACACACACACACACACACACACACACACACACACACAGACACACACACTCATGCGAGGGGATAGTCAGACAGACAAATGCTCCCAGACAGATAAATTTGCACACAGAGGGCCAACAACATTCTCAGCAAACCCCAACACACACGAGTCACACTCACACAGCCTCCCAGCGGATATAACCTAACCCTTAGCCTGTTATATTGCTCTCATGCAACAGAGCAAGCCTAATGAGCGTGCATACACTGTACTCCATGTACAAATTAATGCCTGTGTGCTGTCAGGGTCTGTGGGAAGAATTGCAAAGCATGCAGATCTATGTGAACACGCACACATTCACCCAAAAACATTTTCTCTGACAAGGAGATACGCCCACTCAGACAAATGGGCTCAGGGAGTGACAAATATACCCATGCAGACATTCTCCAGGGATACGCTTTCTCATAGGGTGAATCTGCTGATAGATATACAAATATTAGCATATGAGTGTCACAGAGAGGGGGTCTCAGGATGAGTCGGGCATATTTCTGTGAGTAACATGGCACTCCGAGAAATGTGGTTATGTACATTCCGAATAAGACAGGAGTAGCTGTGGTGTGCTTCACAATGCCACACACACATGTTTTCTTTCTTACAGAAAAGTGAAATAGCAGATTGAAACTAAAGGCTTGTTTGATTTGTGGTTGTTTCCCAAGAGATTAGGGCCGGACAGGTGGATACTTCAGCTGAAACGTGTAGCAAAATATAAAATCTAAGTAACTTTCTCAACAATACAAGCACGCAAATATGTGCGACCAACACAAATGCAGCTGCGTACTCACACCTGGGGCGTTTAAAATTCATCTTTTCACTCAAGGTAAACAAGTCTGCATGCATCCAGGCAGCTACTGTTACACGAATATCAAAATTAAATTAGTCGGGTCTATTGCGTTTCTCATGGAAGCAGCAGAGCCCATCTGCAAACAGTGGAGAATCGTTGGCTGTCTTTGTTTAAAGCCAGATTTCACCTCCCAAACCCCAACTTAATAAGCACCCGTGTGTTTATACAAAACACATTTTCATTAACTGTAGCAAATTACATTTTAATCCATGAAGCCTATTTCACTGTAGAAATTGTTTGACTGGCTTGAGATTAGCAGGAGCTACTGCCAGAGCGCAATGCAAGGAGACAAAATTGAGAGATGATGAAAGCGGTTGTTTGTTCTCAGTTGTGTTGATGGAAATTAGCTAGATGCAGGAATCTCAAAGACGGTTCAGAGCGGCAAAACTCTCTGCTGACTGGATCCCATCCAACCCTTTTCTCTTTTTAATCGCTCATCTTTGACAAGCTGGAAGATTGAGACATTCCCCCACTGAACTGGGCTACACTTTGCACAAATACAAGAAACAGTGCTTTCATGGTTGTGCTGTAGAATAACAACTACGATGTTACCTCTCAGTCAAGCTGTTCAGCAGTATCCAAGCCATTCTAGGACAATTTTTCTTTGTTTCACTTGGAATTAATACGAGACAACATATTTTCATTGGTTCTATTCTTGTTATTACTGCTTTATAAATCTCCAGAGCGACTGTAGTCTGCTTTGATCCCTATGCTTTTCCATTGCCTTAATTGCTCCTTAATTTGTGCAACCAGCAGACCCTGATGTTTGGAGCCGATAATGATGTAAAGCTCAGTTGGGTAAAAACAGTGACCTACTATGCGACATGGTCAATGTGCTCCATTGCTTTGCACAGATCTTCAGTCCCCTGTGATGCCCACTGAGCCTTTAGGCTTTGTGGACGAGTGAAGAGGCACCAGTGGTAGAGTTGGCACTAAAGGTTTCTGGCACCTAATTAGTAATGTTGGTCAGGCAACTGAGAGTTGGAGCAAGTCTCCAGAACAGAAATTGTCTCCCTCTGGTGAGTTCTGCTTGGAGTACTTTTAATGAAGGAGTATTCTTTCAGGAGTCAGTAAACCAGCAACACACATAATTCCAGACTCAGACAAATCTCAGACTTGTTCTCTCTGTGCGCCACTGAAATGAATATCTGTACAATGAAGCTGTCATAACAGCAATATACGGTGACACTTTAAAAGCCTGGCAAGCTGCAAGAAAGAAAACATTTTTGTTCACTAACAACTTATTGACTCTGTTTATGTACAACTGAGACATGTCTGTTTTCAGTAAACATAAAAACCATGATCTGCGACTTTTTCTTTTATAAAGGTTTTTAAAATAATAATTCTTGATTTTTAGAAGAACCTGCCTATCTTTGACATTTAAAAATGACAAAGAGGTTTGAGCTTGTAAAAAAATGTGTTAAGGCCTATATCCCAATAAGACTATTTGCAGACTCAAAGAACCCGACTAAAGCATACTACTGTTGGGAATTTTGCCATTTGTTGTAAAATCAGCAAAAATGTGTTTGTGATTTCCTATCAAAGCTTGATGTTCATATGACTTGGTAGCCTGGCCCTTTCCTTCCTATGCAGCTCCGCTCAAATCTAGTTTCCCTTCATTGCTCCGTCTGGGATTTCTTCCATAGAGATGGATTTTGCTGGCAGATTTTTAGCCGGGCCAATCAGAGAACAGAATGTCAATTTTCTGTGCAGTCTGCTTGTAGTTTATTTTACCTGGGCCAATCAGAGAACAGAAGGAGGAGCTTTGAACGACGTTGACTTTCTGCGCAGTGTCTGCTAGTTATTTTAGCATACGGCAGTGGAGGAAGTGAATGAAGCCAGTCTCTATTGATAAGGCTTCCAAATTAAAATAAATTTGTCTGACAAAGCAGCAGCTCTCATTTACAGTCGTCTCGTTCGGCTCGGTATATTTCTCCTCTCAGTAGGGTTGTTTACAGCGCATGCGATTTCCGGTTAGCTTCTTAGCTTAGCCTCCGTCACAGCGACATACGTCGCAGCCAACTGATCCAATTATTTTAAACTTCAGCAGAGGCCACGCCTCCTGCAAGAAAACGATTCTCTATGCATCAAGTCCAGACCCTTGTACGAAGCAAAGTGAAGGACAGGCTAATGACTTGGCATTGGACTGGTGACCTGTTCAGGGTGTCCCCCACCTCTCACCTGTTAAATGCTGGAGACAAACACTAGCCATATGACCCTCAAGGACTGAGCAGTTACACAAAACTGATTATAATGGTTGACGCTCATTTGAATTTATGTGATGCCAAGCTTTTACCAACAGATGCTCAGCCATTTTTCAACAGGAACATGGTAATGTTTCAAACAGCATCATATCACAAAAAAGGTTGAGAAACAAGTGTTACATGAAGTTTTATACCGTGTGATCTTCAATATTATAACAACGCTGTACAATTTCACTGTCGAACCTTGTTGAATTTTCTTGTTAAATCCTCTAACAAGTCAGTTGCGTGAAAAAAAAAAAAAGGTTAACACGATCATGAGTTTAAAGAGTGTGTTTCGTTATGAAAATGTACCAGATATGCAGTTCTTGTATCTGGCTTCAAATGCAGCAATGACATTTGGAACAGAATTCAGAATGATACCAGTTAGCTCCTTTTGTGGGAATACCTCTAAACAAGCTTTTCAGCAAACAGTCCGTGTTTTTTTATTATTAAAAAACAATGTCAAAACAGTCAGCTGGCAAATGTGTGCAAATCTGACTTCTTAACATTGAACTTATTATAACCAGGTTTAGGTTTTGCTCCACAAGCATGTCAAGAATAAAAAAATTGTATTAATAGAAAATGACTTGATTCACACGTTGGCTTTGATTACAAAAATTAAAAAAAAAATGAATTAAATTTTAGCATTTGTGTTGTATAATGACAACAGCAGGTCATACAAGACATGTGTTAGTTTTGGTTTGGTATTTTGTTGTTGTTTTGCATTATTTTGAAAATAATATTTACATATTTTTCAGACTATATAAGTATATTCCAAGAAATCCAAATAAAACAATTAAAACCAATACAGTGATCTCATATTTATGATGTTTTTCCACTATATTCAGATTTAAAACAACTGTTTGTTCAGTTCTGT